CCTCAATAAATAAATCAAAGGCAGCACTGGTCGTCAACTTTGGGGCTCCACCCCCCACATGCATGCACATTGCCCCCACATACACAATTTTTAAAAAAGCAACATAAGCCAGATGTGGTGGTATGAGCCTTTAATCCCAGCACTTGGGAGGCAGAGGCAGGCGGATCTCTGGAGTTCAAGGCCAGCCTGGTCTACACAGTGAGTTCCAGGCCAGCTGGGGCTACAGGGAGACCCTGTCTCTGAAAGACCTAAAATAAAATTTAAAAAATAAATAAATAAAAATTATAAAAAGCATCATAAACATGACTTTACTATTTTAGATATCTTATATATCTATTTCTTTTCTCCTAATAGTTTTTATTTTTCATCATTTGCACTCTTAATTGGTAACACAGAAGTAGCTCAAACAGTTGGAGGGTATAGTAAAAATTGAGCCATTTATGACTGATGACCTCACAAGTTAGAACACTCCTGTTCATAAAAATCAAATAATATTTTCAGCTTCAGTTTTCAAGGTAATACAAAAGCCCAGCAACAAGAGCACTTCTGAGGGTGGAGGAAGATGTGGCTCAGTTAGCAGAGTGTTTGCCTAGCATGCACAAGGTCCTGGGTTCAACCTCCAGCACTGTATAAACTAAGCACCTGCCTAATCCTAAGACTGGAGAAAAGGAGACAGGAGGATCAGAAGTTATGGTCATCCTCAGTTTTATATATAGTGAGTATGAGGCTAGCCAGGAATACATGAGATCCTGTCTCAAAACAAAACAAGAAAAAGCAAGGAAACAAAAAGAAACCAACATGAACTACTAGAACAGATGGATTAGCACAAACCAAACATTACTAGAAAACCAGTTGTATGTATTGGCCTCAATGTTATCACGTCTACAACCATAAATATATCATCATTTGCAAAAAAACAAAAAAAACCCTAATTTATAAAGGTTTAACAACTGCAACGTTAACAAAATATGCTAACATGCAAGACTCCTATTGCCAGGCATTATGTAACAGTTCCACAAATTGTTTAATTCTTAGCAAAGTTAGAACTGGTATTTGATTAGTGTAATAATCCAGCCCTACCTCAAAAGCTATGTATTTCTCTAAGTTTAATATCAATCTACACAGTATGCTTACAAACAGTAGAGATCGGCATTTTCCTGGAAATAGCCATATAATAAATATTTTGGGCTTTATTGGTCACATAGTCTCTTTAGTTTGCTGTAGCAAAGAAACAACCACAGACAATATATAATGAGCATGGATGTTTCCCAGAAAATTCTCCTTATAAACACAAACCTTCACTTGCCATAAAGTAGTATTCTTCTTTTCTTTCATGCAATTAAAGATGTACGACTGAGACACAGCTCAGGAGAGTGCTTGCCTATCATGCACAAGGCCCTGAAACTAATCCAGGAACACCCCCCCACCCCCCACCCCCACATGCACACACACAACACAAAATAAAAACATGCTACTTTCTGGAGCATAAACTGTCCCATGATCTTTAGTATGCCAATCCCTGAATTATAACATTAATTATGAAGTAATTAATAGCCAGTTTCTAGAATTTAATTTCGACAGAAAAAACTTAACCTATTCACTAGCACCTAGAACACTATGCTTAAAAATCATTTGCTACGTGATTATTTCACTAGTATTGCTAAATGCACAAAAATCATTAATAATACATGGTCTCTTCTACACAAAGTTATAACATAGCACATAATCAATTTAAGAATGGTTCTGGGGCTGGAGAGATGGTTCAGCAGTTAAGAACACTGGCTGCTCTAGCAGAGGATTTGGGTTCGATTCCCAGCACCAACATGATGGCAAACCACCATTCTTAACTCCAGTTCCAGGGGATCCAACACCCTCTTCTGATCTCCACAAGTTTTACATGACACAGGTGCACTTACATACATGCAGGCAATACACTCATACACATAAAATAAAATAAATAAAGTATTCAAAAAAAATTGATATTCAGGGGAGCTACAGAGATGCCTCTACTGGTAAAGAGCAGTGGCTGCTCCTGCAGAGGACCCAAGTGTTTGGTTTCCAGCACTCACAGGGAGGCTAACACCTGCACGTAACTCCAGTTCCAGAGGATCCAACACCCTCTTCTAATTTCGGCAAGCACTGCATGACTGGGGTGCCCTTAGAAATACGGAAGCAAAACACTCATATGCATAAAACAAACACATAATTTTAAAAAGGTAAGAAAGTTTCACATATGAGAATTTTACAGTAGATAGATGGCTCAGCAGTTAAAAAAAATTTTAATTTTGTAATAGTGCTTGGAAATTAAATTCAGAACAGATGCCAGGTAAGCACTTTAATGATAAACTATCTTTAGCCCCAGAAAAAAAGCAAAAATATTTATTTTTTAAAGATTTATTTTCATTTGTGTGTGTGTGTGTACTCAGGTGCCCATGGAGGCCAGAAAAGGACACTGGATTCCTTGGAGCTCAAATTGCAGATATGGGTGCTGGGAACTGAACTCTGGTCTTCTGAAAGAGCAGCAATTACTCTTAACCACTGAGTCATCTCTCCAGTCCCCTAAAAGTAAATTTAAAAGTTCTTAAAAAGGGCCCTGAAGGATGGCTCAGTGGGTAGACCTTTGCTGCCTGTAGAGCCTGAAGCTTTGAGTTCAATCCCTGGAACCCACGTGGTCAAAGGAGAAAACCAACACTACACAACACTACACTACACACTACACCCACACTAAGCGAAAAAACAAAAAAACAATAAATAACAAATAAGGACTGGGAAAATAACTCAGTCATAGAGGGTCTCTCTACCATGTGCAAGGCTATGAATTAGAGCCCCAACATTGAAGAAAAAGTAAAGTTAGCATAGAACCCACATGGTGGAAGGAGAGAACCAACTCCAGAAAATTGGCATCTGACCTCCACAGACCTGCTATGGTATGTACACCCACACACCCACAAATAAACCAATGTAAAAAAAATAAATGTTGATGAGCTGGGCATGGTGGCACATGCCTTTAATCCCAGCACTCAGGAGGCAGAAGCATACAGATCTCGAGGCCAGCCTGGTGTACATAGCAAGTTCCAGGTCAGCTGGGGCTACATGGAGACCCTGTCTCAAAAAGACAAAAATAGGGCCAGGTGTGGTGGCACACGCCTTTAATCCCAGCACTTGGGAGGCAGAGGCAGGCGGATCTCTGTGAGTTCAAGGCCAGCCTGGTCTAAAGTTCCAGGACAGCTGGGGCTGGGAAAAAGGAAACCCCTTCCAAAAAAAAACAAAAAAAAAAAAAAAAGACAAAAATAAATAAAAAAAAAAAATCTGATAATATTTTACATATCGATATATTATTGATCAGTGTGACAGTACAGGTTAATAATGACACATCATACACTGGACTATTAGGTATCAATTGAAAGAATGAGACTGCTTTTATGCTGGGTGAGTGCAGGCAATTGCATGCTATGTGTCAGTCTTTGCCTTCTACCTTGTTTCAGACAGGGTCTCTCTCCTGCTGCTTGTGGCTAGCTGGAATATAGCTTCCAGGGATTCTCCTGTCTCTGCCTCCTTGTTAGCATGGGAAACACATTACCTACTGACTCAGTTCCTCAGTCCCAAAGCCTGCTGGTTATGGAGAGCTTCCAGAAATACTGAGTTCAAGTAAGATTAGAAAAACTATGTATAGTATACTCCCAACTGTATAGGAGAATGAGGCCTGTGGTGCTATTGGTAGTCTGTCCCCCTTTCCTTCCCTACTGCCCAGATGCCACATGCTCAAGCAGCCATGCACAAAAATTCCGAGGTTGTTAAGCCAAAATAAACCTTCCCTTTTCATTAATTCTTAAGTACTTTGGAAGCCTGTTTTGTTTTTAAATATTTTATTTTATTTTTTTTTTATTTTATGTGTATGAATGTTTTGCTTCCAAGTGTACCCATGTCATGCAATGCCCGCAGAAGCCAGAAAAGGGCATTAGATAACCTGGAACTGGAGTTACAGACAGTTGTAAGCCACTATGTGGACGATGGGAACTGAACCAGGGTCCTCTGCAAGAGCAGTCAGTGCTCTTAACTGCTGAGTCATCTTCCCAGCCCCTTATTTTGTTTTTTAATGGCAATGGAGAGCCAATTAACTAGTTCTATAGTGATAAAACTATGTGTTTGGAGTGTAGATGGCATTGGAGCTTACAATAAAAAAACTATGTATAGCTGTTGGGGGACCCTGCTGATAAGGTTGCAGTCCACCATGTCTGGATAGTTCTAAGGGGCTCAGTGCTATATGGAAGGACTCAAGCACGGATGCCTGACCTTATTTGGAATATGACCTTTGGCATAGTTACCTGCAATAAAACTGCCCCCAGGTTTTTTCTATGATAAATTAGGCATTGCCCTATAGTCGGATGATAGGATCCCCCTACCACATGTCAATAAAGCACACTATGAGCACCTATCAGCTGAAGCTTTGGCTGCTGCCTTCACACTATATTTTCCCTGACCCCCCACTGAATAAATGGAGCTGTATCACTGAATCTGACTCCCCCGGAAGGTCTTTTCCGTCCTGACCCCATTCGTCGCTTCTGCTCCCTTTGTCCTCGTGGATCGGTGGCCAACGGCCCACGAAGGGAAGGAGAGACCCACATACAGCTAGACATGGTGGTGCATGCTTTTAATCCCAGCACTCAGGAGGCAGAGGCAGGTGGATCTCTGGGAGATCAAGGTCAGCCTGGCCTATAGTGAGTTCCAGGCCAGCTGGGACTACAGGGAGATCCTGTCTCAAAAAAAAAAAAAAAAAAAATATTCTTTCTTTTCTGGTTAAAGTTAGTCTTGCTATGTAGCCCTAGCTGGCCTGAACTTGAAATAAAGACCAAGCTTGCTTTGAACTCATGGTAATCCTCCAGCATCTGCCTCCTAAATGCTGGGATTACAAGGTCTGAAGCACCATGGCCAGTCAAATCTTTTAATGTATCATTTTTTTTTAATAACACAAAAGAAAAAAAAATTAAAGCAGCACTTGCCTTTTTGCCTTTCGAGGTTTCAGAATCCTCATCTTCTACACTAAGTAGATTTGCCCCACTATAGAGAAAATAAAGGGAAGAAAACCTTAAGTAACAGAATTCACACATTCCTATCACGTCTTATCCTCAATGCTCATCTGAGTCAAACAATCAGCAAAATTTTCTGCAAAGGATCATGCTTTAAAAAAACATTTTAGGCTTTCCAGGCCATACATTATCTATATCAAACTATATCTTTCCAATTGCAGTCTGAAAATAAACACCATACTTCAATCTGGCTGTGTTCCAATTTACAAATTACAAACCTGGGTGCTGAGCAAAAAGTACCAGTTTGTTGTTCCCTACCATAATGAACATAATAGTTTAAACTATGGATCTTATATATGCTCACTATTTCCCCTTCTAACTTGAATTAACACTTAGGGAAGAACAGAAAAATATATAAAAGCAGTACCCCAGGGAAGAAAAATTAAGTGAAAAGAAAGTAATTCCAATAGTATTGGCACAATGAAAGTCATATTACTCTTGGAAACATCAATCTTTCACTGAGAATCATTGGCCTGAGATTCTAAAAGGTCAGATTAACGAACACTAACGGCTCATGGTACCCTCAATATGACCAAAATATTGAAGCCCCAAGGATCACAATAACCAAAGTGTTCAATCTATAAGTGATCATTCACAGGCCAGCACCTTAAAAGAGCATTTTAAAATGATAATGGTAGGGGCTTGGCAAGATGGCTAAGTAAAGAGCGCTTACTGCTCTTGCAGAGGACCTGGGTTCAGTTCCTAGCAATGACATGATGGCCTAAAATCACCTGTTAATTCCAGTTCCAGAGAATCCAATGCCCTCTTCTGGCCTCTGAGGGCTCCTGAATGCTGCACATATACTCATGCAGGCATAAGCATATATAAAATGTAAATAGTTAAATTAACTGTTGGTAATCTTTTGGAATAGAAAATCAAAAATGCCTTTCTAAAGACAATCCTGCTATATATGTAAAATTCTAGCTATATACTTTTGTATATACTGCTATTGCTATACTAAAATTCTTTTATGAACATTTTGTTAAAAATGCCTAAAAGGTAGCTTAATTTCTTATTTAAGTCTATCTTTTCAAAACTATGTAAATATCAAACATCTGAATTCATTTTTAGCTTAATTTCTTATTTAAGTCTATCTTTTCAAAACTATGTAAATACCAAACCTCTATCAGAAAAGAAATATAATCAGAGAAAAAAAAAGAAATGACCATAAAACACTGACTTCAATGAAATTAGAAATATATCAGTTCAAATAAAGGCACCTAAAATAGTGGACATGAAACACCTATAATACTCAGCTAATATATGTGAATGATTTCTTAAAGATTTAAACAAAAATGGGTGTGGTGAGGCAGACCTAGAATCCTAACACTTAGGCTGAGGCAGAAGGACTGTCACAGGCTTGAGGCCACTGAGCTGTACAGTGAATTCCAGGCCAGCATAGGCTACAAAGGGAGACCCTGTTTCAAAAAACTAAAAACTAAGCAATCAAGATTTCTTTTTTTTTTGGTCTCTTTTGAGACAGGGTCTCCCTGTAGCCCCAGCTGTCCTGGAACTCACTATGTAGACCAGGCTTGAAAAAGAAATTAAAGCTCTTGTAGAACTTTGTGTATTCACATGTCTCTGAACTTGTTTTGGCCAGTAGGAAACCACATTAATAAATCAAGAACTTATTGCCAGGCATGGTGGTGCATGCCTTTCATCCCAGTACTTGGGAGACAGAGCACTGTGAGTTCGAGGCTAGCCTGTGCTACATTGTGAGTTCCAGGCCACCTGGGGCTACAAGGGAGACCCTGGCTCAAAAAAACAATAATAATAATAATAAATCAAGAAGTTAAAAGCAGTATCAAATTTGCAACATAAAAATCACAACAAGCATTACTACTGAAACTGTTAGTAACAGCCATGGATGAGGCGCTGTGGTAGAACACTTTCCTGTATATTAGGTCCTAAATCTGATCTACAGCAACACTGAAACAAAACTACAGCAAAAACTCAACTATTATTTAAAATTCACATAGAAATTCATTCCAATAACACACTGCTTAATTTCTAGGCAGCACCTGTTCATATTACTTAGCCTGGCACTGCTTTACTGGTGGAACTATGAGGTGAAAGTGACAGTAACAGTTCCTAAGTTGGCAAGAGCGAGGATTACTCTTTCATACAAAATTCAGGGGTTACATAAATGATCGCTTTTCAAATTGTTTCCAGAAAAGAATTCCTGTTTTTAAAGAGAGGAGACAGAGGAGAAGGAGGATTGTTACTACCTTAGCTTGAAACTGTTTTCTAGTCAATTTTCAGTCATTAGCTAGCACGTATTACATACATATATTTATACATTTTTAAAGACTGAGAAATATAGCAGCAAAATTATTTACCAATAAAGTATTTATCTCTTAATATAAAATAATCATGTTTAAAAAAAACTTTCTACAAAATATAAACTGATTTTCTGATAAGTTTCACTTGTATAGTATTGGAGGAAAATAGCCTTACTCTTTATTTGTATCTCCTTCACTTTCTTCTTCATGATCAAAGCTCCAATTATTTTTAAAACCTCCATCTCTCTTAGACTCTGATCTAGCCAAAGCTGAAATAAAACAAACTGAAATGAGTATTCATTAATGTAACTATTGAATACAAAGGAAACTTGAGCATTTTCCCACACACTTTGATTATTCCACATTTCTAAAAAAAAAAAAAAGTCCATCTTTTAAAAACTATTTCTTGTAAGCATCTTATTTTCTCCAATGAGAAAAAAAAACACATATAAATCTGGTTTTCCAATTTGTGTGTGTGTGTGTGTGTGTGTGTGTGTGTGTGTGCATGCAAGCACTATAGACAGAAACTCTGATTACTAAGGTAGCATAAAATGGGGAGGGCATGTAAGTATGTGTGACATGTATAAAACCAACCCTACACTCAATCTTTCATAACTGGTTCCAGAAATTAGTCCATCTAATTTACACATTTTGAGAAATATACCCAGACCACTAGCCTTTCCTTTATATTGAATCACCTTTGCCTTCTAACAGAAGAAAGACAAAAGGTGTTCTGTACTGGCAAGATAAGTTAATTTGATAACCAGAAAACTAGATCAGAACACCAAAGATGCGTATTAGGAAATACAAATTGGGAACTTGGAAAAATAAATAAAGCTCAAAAGTTGGCATTTGTCTGAAAGCCATATGACAAAAGTCTAATGTCCTGGAGTCTGAGCTTTAAGACTAAGTTCAGGATACAAGAAGGATGAGAAGGCAGAAAAAAGGGGGAAAAAGAAAAGAAAAAAAAAAGATAACAAGGAAGAAACAAGTGTTTAAATAGGTAGTAGGGATAAGGGTGCTGTTATAGACGGGCGTGGTGGCTCACACCTTTGATCCCAGGCCTCTCTATCAGTTCAAGGCCAGCCTGTCTCTGATCTCTGTGAATTCAAGGCCAGCCTGATCTCCATAGTGAGTTCCAAGCCAGCTGGGGCTACAGGGAGACCCTGTCTCAAAAAGACCAAAGAAGGGGAGGGGGGCACAAAACTGTGGTATCTCACCCTTGAATCTGGAGTTACCAGCTGCGTCACTGAAGACAAAGTATATCCACCTGTGGGCTGGGGTGGGGGGGCAGCACAGTGGTAAAATGCCTGTCTAGCTTGCTGCAGACACTGGCTTCAATACCCAGCACCAAAAAAGGAAAGACTAAAGTGTCTCTATCTACTGGCTGTGTCCAAGCCACAGGCCGTGGTAAAAGATAGCTACGAAGGCAGCCCAACACAAAACTGTAAACTTACTTAAAACATCATGAGGGTGTTTTTTGTTTGTTTGGGGTTTTTGCAAATTTTTTTTTTTTGTCGGAATTTCATGGCTCTCAAACATAACCTTTATAGATAACAATATCAAATGGCTGGATTCCCTTCTAAATGTTTGTGTGCCTCCGAACTTCAGTTTTGTTTTTGTATTTTTTTTTTAAGTTGGAGGATAAATTTTATTAGAGTTTAAAGAAAAGCCCCCAGGGCAAGCAAGCTGTAAATACTGGCAGCTTCCCAGAGGAGAAAGGAGAAGGAAAGCAAAGAGCTACACTGTTGCCAGTGTGGAGGTGAGCACACTGAACCAGCTGTCACATGGTGGGGTGGGGGATCAGACAGAGTCAGGAAGCCCAAACTACCAGAAAAGGCTTAGTTAGGGTTTGGTCAGCACCAGAAGAAACAGGAAGAAAAAAGAGAAAAGTTACACCTATCTCAGAAAGGTGGGCAGATCCAATAGAAGCTCATGGAGGCTTGTAGGCTGCACTCCAAATTTCAGATTTTTAAATCCCATTGGGATTTAAGAAGTAAGAACTTTGTGAAGTACAGGGCAGAATCCTTAACAAAGGGATTCATCCTATAAAAGAGACCCATGGAGGTTGGTTTACTTTCTACCATGAGGGCATAGTCAGAAGGTACCACCTGTGAGAAAGCAAGCTGTTGTCAAATACTAATTCTGGATAGCTTGATTTTGATTTTCCTGCCTCACCTCTAACAATGAAGACTTTTATTTGTCTGAAAGCTACTTAAGAGCTGGGCATGGTGGTACACACCAGCAATCCCAACAAGGACAAGTTAAAAGGCCAGCCTGAGCTACAGAGTTTGAAGCCAAGTCTTAGCTACATAGTAAAGCCTTGTATTAAAAAGGAAATAATAATAGTAATAAGCATCAAAGACAAATTGCACAATCTGGTACTTTGTAACATCTTTTATCTATATCCGCTCTAATAAAACAGAAAAAAGGAATTTTCCTTAGAAAATTTTCAAATATATGCATATATTCCTTCCTATGAAAGAGAATTGGTTCAGGATGGGCTGGACTTACTTATCTCAATAAAATAAGAGGATTTAGAAAGAAGAAAAAACAAACTGACAGTGGGAAAAAAACCAACAAACACTGCCCAAGTGACAAAGGCTGGCATCAACAGTGATGTCTTCTCCACAGCACATAACTTTTAGTATAGTATGGTGGAAAAAGCACCTCAGTTTGCTGGTTTCTTCTCTAAAACTCTAATGCCAAGAAATCAGACAACAGTGCTAGAAAGACGGCTCAGTGGTTAACAGCACTGTCTGCTCTTACAGAGGACCAAGGTTTGGTTCCTAGGACCCATATGGCAGCTAACAACCACCTGTCACTCTAGTTTCAGGGGATCCAACACCCTCTTGGCCTCTGCAAGCACTACCCACACGTGGTACACAGACATACATGCAGGCAAAACATTCCTACTTATAATAAAATAAAATCTTAAAAAAAGAAAAGAAAATCAGACAAGCCTCTAAATGAGACAGTCTATAAATACCTACTTAGAACTCAAGAAAAGAAAAAAAAAAAGATTAATGGGCTGATGAGATGGCTCAGAGTAATAGTGCTGGCTATTCTCAGAGGACCCAGGTTTGGTTCCCACCACTGACACGGAAGCTAACTGGCTTCTGTTGTACCCCTACATACATGCAAGCAAAACACTCATAACACATAAAATAAAAACAAATTTAAAAAACAGAAGAAATGTAAAAGGATTAAGAAAGCATCAGAGAGCCAGGCATGGTGGCGCATGCCTGTAGTCCCAAGCACTTGGAAGGCAGAGGCCTCTGTGAGTACAAGGCCAGTCTGGTCTACATAGTGAGTTCTAGGCCAGCGGGGGCTACAGGAAAACCATATCTCAAAAAAAAAAAAAAAAAAATGAAAAAAGAAACCATCAAAGAGCAAAATAACTGGGCATGGTGGTGCAGGCTGAAGCAGAAAGAGGATCACTGGGAATCTGAGGCCATCCCAGGTCTACACATTGATTTCCAGGCTAGTCAGGGTGACATAGCTAGACCCTCGCTCTCAAAAACAACAGCAGCAACAGCCCCCACCCCCCAAAATGTGGAAACATGATAACCAAATTCAAAATCTTGGACTAAACTTTGCAACATATAAAGAATATTAGTGGTATAAATTAAATATTAAGTCCTAACTGAGGTAATCATAAGAATATTACATTTCTAAGTTTTGGCAAATGCACAATTTCTACATTAGGTTGCAACTACAGTGGAAACTAGAGGAAAGGAATTCATAAATCCCTAAACCATCTTTGAAACTCTATAAATATAAAAATATTCCAAAATAAGCCAGGCGTGGTGGCACATGCCTTTAATCCCAGCACTTGGGAGGCAGAAGCAGGTGGATCTCTGTGAGTTCAAGGCCAGCCTGGTCGACATATTGAGTTCCAGGACAGCTGGGGCTACAGGGAGGCCCTGTCTCAAAAAGACCAAAAAAAAAAAAAAAAAAAAAAAAAATCCAAAATAAAGTTTAAAAATGATCAATTTAAAATCTTTCAGAACTCAAATTACCTAACATTCATGCATGGATACAACTGGGGAGGTCTGTACAGTTTTTTGATTTTTTCTTTTTAAATTTATGTGTATGACTGTATTGCCTGCATATATGTAAGTTCACCCGTGTTGTGCAATGCCGCGGAGGTCTGACGAGGGTGTCAGATTCCCCTGGAACTGGAGTTAAGGATGGTTCGTAGCCACCATATAGGTGCTGGGAATTGAACCCACGTCCTCTGCAAGAACAGTCAGTGCTCTTAACCACTGAGCCATCTCTCCAGCCTCCTGTACAAACAGTTCTAACACACTGGATCATACACTTTCCTAAAAGAGAATCCACAAATAAATGGGGGGGGACCTCAAAGAAGTGATAAGTGCTGCTGTGCTGTGACTATGTAATGTCTGCCGAATGCACACGTGCTTGAACACTTTGGTGCCCAGGTGCTAGGGCTGTTTGGGAACACTGTTGGGGTTTTAGGAGGTGAAGCTTTGCTGGAGGGAAGTGGATCGCTGCGGGGAGGATCTTGAGGTTTAACAGTCCTGTCCCACTTCCTGCTCACTGTTTCCTGACTGTGGATGCTATGTAGTAACCAACTGCCTCAAGTTCCTGCTATCATGACTTCCCTGCTACAATGGTCTATACCTGTGAACTGTGCACCAAAATAAATTCATTCTTACTTAAGTTTCTTTTGTCAAAGAATTTTAACACTGCAGCAGGAAAAACAACTAATACAGAAAATTGGTACCCAGAAGTTGGACCACTGCTGTAATAAACCTGACCATGTGGGTCTTAGGCCTTTACAACTAGACTGCAGGAGGAATGTGGAAATTTGCAGCTCTTACAAAAACACTAGAGTATTGCAAGCAAAGCTTAATGGATCATTCTGTTGGAACCTTGGAGGAATGCTGAGAGGCTGGTAAAAGAGGATTGCTGCCAACCCTGGAAAACTGAGTTCCATCCCATTCCTAGAACCCCTATGGTGAAAAGAGAGAACTCACTCCTGAAGTTGTCCTCTGACTTTCACATGATACCATAACATGCATGCATCCACACAAGAGGCTCATATGAAAGGAAGAGGGGGGTAAGAGGGAGGGAGGGAAGGAAAATAATTCGTTTCCTTTTCGAGACAGGGCCTCATTATGCAGCCCTGGCTGGCCTAGAATTCACTACGTAGACCAGGCTTACCTAGGACTCAAGAGAAATCCACCTGCCTCTACCTCCTGAGTGCTGGGATTAAAGGCGTGCACCACCATACCCAACCTAG